AAGAGAAAAAAGAGAGGAAAAGAGAGAGAGAGAAGAGAACTGGTATTTTTGCGTTCGAGCACGTCAAGGGGTGCGTTTCGTGTTGCGATCATAAAAGCCGTGGGTAAAACCCCCTGGCTGCGTCTAGACGACGGCGCGCGTAGTCTTCCTATCAAAAACAGACCACCGAACCGAAAAGGCTGAAAGGGCAAGGAACTTCACGCAATGCCAAGAAATTAAAGTTCTTTTATACATCCGCCTATACTCGTTCCATACCTTCTCCCCCCTCCGCCCCCTGCGTGTCTGCCGCCCCTCTTATCCATCCTCGTGTCCGGTCGGATAAAGTCGACGTTACGCGGCGGAAAGAAAAAGATACCTCATCCAACGAGACGTCTGTTCTGTGAAAGAAGAGTCTTATAAAAACTTCATGAATCATATTAAGAAATAGCAAGCAAATTAAAATTATGTAAAAACAAAATAAAATCACAAAAGGAGCCTGCACTCTATTGTTGGTGCTGAAAGCAACAATCAAGATTTGTTTGTTCGTTCTGGAAATAACCATCTGTTTACAATTATTACCCGTATTTTCTGAGCAAAATTACGATTTTTCTCTGCAGTCAAAACTAAAATTCAGTAAATAACAAGTAAAATTTCGGATTTTCAATGTTTTTCTTATTGCATTTATAAATCTGTTCACATAATTGTCATACAAGAGAAACTAGAGATAATAGTAAGAAGCATAGATGACCGCGATTAATTGATACTATTTCGTCAGACGGATAAAAGCAGAAATCATCAATGCCCGAGAAACGTCTAATGCAGTAGCTGTCACGGCCAGTCACCAAATAATTTGCATAATCGCAATCGATTACCGACAGTTACCATGGCTGCCATGGTCATTGTCGCACGGTATCGTGTAGCACTCTCGAAAAACAATAAATGTTCGTCAATAATCTATGTTAATCAATATTTAAATTATAAATCAAGCTAATTACCGAGTTTTAATCATGATTATTTTGCTAAAGTAAATAGTGATTTTTTTCCTTAAAATGAAATTTGAATATTGTTCAGAGTAGTTGTGAAATTTTTTGCGGTTCTCATTAAACCAATTTCGTTTTTCAATTGTTTCATTGTGACAATAAAAAAAATAAAAAATAAAAAAAATAAAAAATTTTTGTCAAAATCGATTTCGAAAAATATATAATAACTATTATTATTCACGCAAAGCACATCCTCTCGATCACTTCGATCTACATAGACGTGCTCGAGCATCGGAAAAGAAAGGTGTGTGTTATTTGTTCGAATCTTTTCTCTTTCTCTCTCTAGACACGCTTAGAAATATAAGCAGAGCGGAGTTGATAAACGGCTTCTGGAGTGTAAGATAAAGACAGCTAAGACCACAGCTTGGTCGACGACCAAGAAAAGATACTCGACAGAATGACGAAAGGAGAAACGAAGAAAGAAAACACCGAAGATAGATGGATATGTGCGTGTCCCGAGTAAAACAAACTAGACTAACCGTCGTTTATTAGATTATGTGCGTGCGCATAGTAAAAACATGAATTTTTTGCGTTATTCATTATAGAAGTTTTTGAAAAAGCGCGAGATTTATTTTCCGACGTTTCTACAAATGTTAAATAAAAGTTTTCAGAACAATCTTTTGACTACCGGGAGAACTGAAATCCTGGTACGGTCCTACTTACGACAGATGGCACTCGCAAATAGACGATAGAAGAGAAACCCGAGATCAGTAACCCCGATAGGGGAAAGAACCGCGCGCGCTAACTGCGCCGTTTCTTTAATCTTCTGAGATGCCGCCACTCTTCGTGACTCCGACTTTCGTTTCAACTCCTCGACACGTTTCGAACAAAAAAATTCAAAATGCACTGCATTTTAGGTGTCGGCAGGCAGACAATTATTACGCGTTTGTGCTTGTAATGGTGTCTATATGTATCTTGTACATCAAATATTCGATTCATGTTTGCTTTGTTTACAAGTTCGGCTAATTGTAAGAGAAATTTGAACATATATGGTTAATAAAGATTGAAAAAGATTATCATTTAATTAAATGATATTTGATGTCATAGATGAACTTGCATGTTTGCATATGCAAAACCTTATACACACGACTTAGATGTATAGAAATCATTTACTTCTTCGAAGTTCTGCTTGCAACACTAAATAGTAAAATTATAAATATAATGTACGATTCAAATTCGGAGCGCCTCGTGTGGTAATCATCACGCGTTGTCATTTTTCTTGATAACATTGTTGAGGTGGAATATTCCATCAGTAATCGACAACTATCACGTGTCTATACCACTATCGAGCGTCACACGAAATCTTTCAAGATCGTTATTGATTTGGCGCTGCCGCGCAATCGATATACAATATTCGCGAACCGCAGGTGGTTGCACACGAGTTGTGTAGTTTTTCTGAAAAATTGATTGGTGATCTCGTGTAATATTTTTTCATATTCATTTTTACCAGTAATAACGAGATAACGAGAAATACGACACAAATGCGCACATGCTCGCGCGCTCTCACTCTCTTCTTTTCTTCCCCTCTCGTTGTCGGCTCCCTTTTTTTTCTCTCACGCCACGGAAGAGATAAACACGGCGCGCGGCGTGGCGTTTCGTGGCGCCCCCTCTCGACTAACAGAACCGCCCCATGATCTCGAGAAATGCGCTCTGTCCTACACATGTCGGTCGCACGTGCGAGAGTAAACGTTCTGCGCGACAGAAGAGTCTTACAAACTATCGAAATCCTTGCGTTGTCTCCCTGGACGCGCCCAGTCCCGCATGCGACTGCATGTCAACCTAACCTCGAAATTCACGGCAAGAAATTGCGTCGGACATCGCCGTGCTGCAATTGTCTCGCGTGGCCACGCATTACGGTGTTACCGATGCGTGCATACACGCGTGTACGTATAATTTGCTACATCAAAACGGCATGTAATTCGTAGTGGGATTGTGCCGTAATGAGTTGAAATGAGCAGAACAATCATTCATCGCGCGTGCGACAGCATTAATCACTTAGCGTGACATATATGCGCTTTTGCCTTTAAAGTACTCACCCTCGTCCGAATCCTCTGGATCCTCTGTCTGAATGAAGGATATATCTGAAACCCACAAACGTCACGGGTTAGCGGAAAAATCCCTCGTGTATATATTTTCTCAGCAATCTCGTCCCGTTCACAGGCACTCACTCACCCGCCATCTTGTAACAAACTGCAGCGCACTCGCGCGGCCACGCGCTCAATTTGACAAGAAGATCGAGAAATCGCGTTTGCGATTCTCGTATTCGATCATTATCGATTATCGTAAAATTTTAAGTTTTAATTGCACTGAATGTTCGCTTCGAGAAAGTAAAGTTTATTATTCCATTTAATAATTTTATTGCACTTGATAAGAAACGCGTAACTTTTTGCTACAATTTCTCATTTAAATCGAATAGCACTTTTTTTTTAACAATTTATCGCGATCAATGATACCTCTAATATGAATTTTAATGGTTTTTTTCTTAAAAAAATGTAAATTTTTGTGAAAAAAAGCGTTAGTTTTGTTTTTATATTTTTTGTAAATACAGCTTTTCAAAGAGAACAGCAAGAAGCAATATAAAATGATCGAAAAATCCAATTTACACAGACTGCAAATGTGAGTTGTTTTTAATACAAGTTTTGTTCTCATGAAAGAAAACGGAAAAAATATTGGAAGTATTTACACTAACAAAATATGAGGAGAGGTACGAAAAGAAGACTATAAAAAACACTGTTTGTAAAATACATATATATCATAAAACATCAAATTTCTTTTTTTTCTAAGAATATTATATATATATGTATATATATGTGTGTGTGTGTGTGCGTGTGTGTGTGTTTATGTAAATGTTCCGTTTGTGTATGTATTACTTTAACGTAATAGTATATTACATATATAATATTTTCTTAATCAATATTTTTCACAGGTTTTTAAGAATAAATGTACATTACATTACATTACAGAACTAGTTATGCTTACTTATGTAACTTATTAAACAACTACTTGTCTTACTACAATTTGCACAATAATTTTCAGGCTATTCTAAAGCCTGTGGCACAATATTTACATGTTAGATCATACACACCAAGATAATTTGGCAATTTCTTGATTTACAAATTAAAATTTTTAATATTTGCGCTTTAGCATAAAAAAAACGCACGTGTGCCACAGGCTTCACAGAAAAAATTCTCAAGTTAATGAGTAACATTACAGTTTACAATTCAGTCATAAGTTTTAAAGTGCAAACATTTTATTCATTATTAGTTATCAGAAATAGCATTTGCACCTAGAATAAAATATAGAAAAAAAATATATAAAATTATTTTTTTTTTCACATTTTATTAATATTAATGTTTTATTTATATTTTTGTCATTAATATCTGAAGATGGGTTTCGGGTTTGAATCGCGTTCAGTGTCATTTGTATACCGACGTTTCGTGAACTGAAATATTCAAACCCGAGAACCAATTTCAGGTAGTAATGTAACACGGCGGAAACATCAAATAGTTTTGTCACTCGAAACAATTAAAATGTTATAATTGTATTTATATTTCCACCAATTAGTAATTTTACAACAACAAATATGTAAATTATTATCAAAGGAGAAAGTATATATATATATACTCTACGAGCAAAAATTCTTCACAGTCAAGAAAGTGATCTTTTTTGACTCTCTTCCTTTTTTTTGTCTGAAATACACTTTTTCTCTGATTGAAAAGGTCTTTCAATATATTTCTTCTCTTCTCTAGTCACTGACGAGAGTTTAAATATGTAACTAGTTTATACATTATCGTATTAATCTTTTGAACATCTTAACATTCATAAGAGAAAGAGCAATACTTTTCTATAAATCTATATAGTAGAAAAAGTATGGAGAAGTATGGAAAAATTTGCAAGAGAATGTTTTCGTTTTTTTCACTCTTCAACGTCAGTTCTTTCAGTGACTTTTTGAGTGAAAATGATCAAGTCTTTACAAGTGCATCGTTACGGAATTCATTTATCTACACTTTATAGTCTTCTATTAATGCAGTATGTTGCAAAAAAAAATACTACATGCTATGTGACATGTAACTGTATATAACATACAGCATAAACAACTCTATCTGTTATAATCATGATTATCTCATGACATTTCCACAAAAAGTAAATGGTATTAAAGAAGCGATAAAAGAATTGGTGGTATGCATCGGTATGATATGATCGATGTCATATATCATCAGAGGCTATTTCTTCGATAGTAGCTCTACACATTGGACACTCAATCAGCTGATTCGAACATCTTTGGCAAAATCCTCTACAAAAGTGAATCGGTTATTGTACATTATGTATCACTACAACTATATAGATTCACCATATTACCTTATATAATATTATATATTATATAATAAATTATATAATATTATATTACCTGTGATTACACGGCAGTAACCTCACCGATGCTTTCTGATCGAAACATAATGTACAGGAATCTTCCCTAACACTAAGTCTTCGTAACTGGTCTAAATATAAATGTCTAGGAAGTATGATCTTGTCTTCCGGTTTTAGCGTAGCGTGGTCGTTAAATTTCTGAAATTCTCGATCGACAGGAGGATATTTAAAAGGTTCATTTCCAAAATTAAAAAGACATTGTTGGAATGACATAAAACTAGCTGCTGCGAAGAATCCCGACCTGAAAATTCGTTATTTAAAAAAAATTATTGAAATTTTGATTGTAAATATCAGAAAGAAATGAGATACTTGACAACATATACACATACTTTACTGTTTTAAATATTTGAATACACGGTTTAAGTGGTATACCGTTGATAGAGAATATTATTTCTAATTTATTTAAATCCAATAAACAACCCAAGATATCACCGGATCTCCAACAATAAGTGTCGGGAAATTTTTCACTTCGAGCATTATACCAAATCAATCTGCGACAACCATCGTAGGCCACAGAAAATTCGTCATCTCCTATGCCATAGCCCTCCTAATATCGAAAAAGAAAAACAACGATATCTATATCCATGCTACTAATGTTACATTTTTTAATAACTGTATAGATTAGGTAAAAATATTTTGAAATCAATTACATGATTAAGAAAAGTACTATCTTTTGTAGCCCATCCAATTTGCATCACTCCTGCAGTTATTATAAGTGTCTCATAATACCATATTCCTGAATCTACTTGAAATGTACATCGTACACTTTCAAAAGAATATGCATCACATCTTGCCTGAAATTAATAATAGTTTTAAGTACAAAATTTACGTTAACACATTCGTAAAATCACAGAATATTTACTTCTAAACCATTAGGTGATATTTTCAGGTACTCGCTTACATCCTTCGTATTCAACATTACATTAATTCCACTCACATCGACGGAATCGTGGGAATACTTTCTGCCTTCCATTAAGACTAAAATATACGTGATAAAAAAGAAACATTACTATCAAAAAAACATTATTGTTTATATACAAGTAAAAATATACAATAAGTCAATATTTATGTTATAATATTATAGTAGTATGATTTTTTTGTACTTACATAAGTTATCTAAACACCATTGTGCACAGAAACCAACTTGACGACGTACATAATGCTCTTCTGTTGCCCACTTTTCCAATCTTAACAATGGATTCTGTTTTTCTGCCATAAGACGTTTCTTAATAGTAGCCTTATTTTCACCTGTTAACATACACAATATTAATATAGTTTTTTTTTTTTTTTTTTTTTTTTTAATGAGAAGTACAAATAAATATAAAACTTATGTACTTGTCTGTGCAAACTTTTCTAGTGCTATTAGAGAGTATAACATCACGTAAGGCTCGTAATCCGTTCGCTGAAAGAATAAATATATGGTGTAAGATACACAAACATTTAAATATTTTAACATTAAAATAAGATAAAACAGCATACTAGATTTGAAACAAGATAATCTAAGGTGGCGTCGGATAATATCGCTATACTACTAGGACCAGCAAGTTTCTCTGCAATACAACCAAGTACTACACATATATTGCAGTGATGTTCATTCGTAAGTTGTACTGGAGCATGTAGAAATATGCGTGATAATTGTAACACAGAATCCTACAATATCAAAAAAAGATTATTGCTGTTGTTGCACTGTATGGTTCCAACACAAAATTTATTGAGTTCAAACCTTTGAAGGCAAAGGGCAGTCATCTAATAGTAATATTATAACAGAAGGTCCCAGTGGATTGTGCATTGGAATACTGTTGACCATAGAACAAACTACATGTATCCAGCCATCCTCTTTATCTGCGATAGCATTCAATTTTAACATAGCTGGTGGTGGCTCATGATCACTAAAGACAAATAAACATGTAAAAAAAAAAAAAAAAAACAAATAAATATCCTGTATGCATCACAATATTGTTTACTCACTTATCCACTAAAGTATCCAGACTTTTTAGTGTCTGTAATACAAGTTTGTCAATATATGAAAATGAAGAGAATTTAAAAGAAGATCGTGCTGTACCACTAGTTGGAACTGTATTTAGATTAGGTTCTGGTATTATAGTATTTTGAGTTTCTGTATGACTGGTACTGCCATATGAGTCAAGTTCTGGAGTATCTTTGCACAAACAATTTCCCATTTCCACAGTTTCTTATAAATTTCTTTAGCAAATTATTGCCTATCTGTCATTTAGGTTACATTTACAGAACAATGATATAAATGTACTATCAAATCTTGCATTAGATTAGGCTAAAAATAATATTTGTTACTGTTTAAACAACAATTCTATCACTCCAAACTCACAACTTATGCATTAAAATAAAAAAAGATATAATTAATATATATAATGAAGAAGTATATTACTTACCAAAAAGATAATATCATGGTAAGTCATATCCTTCTCACATATATAGAAGAAACTATGTAAGAGTTTTTCTTATCTGCTTTTCTGCTTCATGACATTTTAATATTATTAGACTGTGACTAAATGCAAAGTAAATGTGTTTTTTTTGTTTAAGTCCCCTTTATTAAAATTTACTTATCAGTTCTCTTTCTTTCTTTCTCTCTCTTTGTCTCTCTCTCTCTCTCTCTCCTCCCTTTTTTTTCTGATATTATAATATCTACAAATCATGCATATTTTTTCCACATCAACATTAGCCTATTAATTAAGTAGAAATAAAAAGGATTAGATATAAAAGCAAATACTTCACAAAACAATATACACATACACACAATATACACTCTACACCAGTTTTTGTTTGTATTTTTACACAAAACCAAATAAAATAATTTATAAAAGTGTTTCGATTTTCACAAAAACTATGCGAAAAATCAGTTTTTTTAAAGAATAAAATAGAATTTCCCGTATATTTAATGACCGAAAGTCAGAATGCGACCTAAAGTTGTCGTTTTTGAGGTTATGTTTCAGCTATTGTATATATATTGCAATATACTTTATCACATATAGCAAAAAGAGAAATGTATTTTTTATTCTGTTTGTATTACTTCGTCAATCTCACGTTGTATAGCAGTAAATATTTTCTGCTCATACTTTGTAAGGTCCTACGAATCGTTCCCCTACCCTGACGAAAATGAGAAGTTTTATAAGCGTTTATTTGACGTTTGTATGAGCGTTTTGCGGAAATTCGTTGAAAGTTTTGAAACGATCAGTAGAGAATTCATAGAGCAGAAATTGCAACGCTACAGCGTTTGAAAGGCGTTTGTATAAAGCGTTTC